TCCAGAAGTTTATTCATGCAATCTCCCCCACACCTGCATCCACCATGTCTTCAACTGAGATTGCCATGAAAACCACAAATGCCACCTTATCGCCATACACATTTGTGGAGAAAAGAATTTCTCCAACAGACACCACAAAGAGATCCAGTGATTCTATCTCAGATTCTCAATATTGGAGATATGATGTTTCTCAAAAGCGACAAAAACATGAAGCGGGACATGGTGATAAGATGTGTTTCAAATTTGTTTCTTCTGGTTCTTGTTCGCGAGGAGAGAAGTGCAACTTTCGACATGATATAGATGCAAGGGAGCAGTGTGTGAGAGGTGTTTGTTTTGATTTTTTGAACAAGGGAAAATGTGAAAGGGGTCCAGATTGTAACTTTAAACACAGCTTGCTGGAGGAAGGTGACAGACATCCTTCTAGGAGGCCTGGATCTGAAAATACTAGGTCTGGCAGGTTTGTCTTAGGACTTACTATATTCTGTAATCAATGTGAATTCTGTTATTTAGTGATGCTCGATTTGTAAGTTTCTGTATTATAATTATATTAATGAAATAAAAATTTGATTTTGTTATTCAGTTATTCCTCTTATTTGTTTATTTGATTCTTCCCTGTTCCCTTGAACTTTTAGGCTTTTAGTCATTAACAGATCTATCCTAAAATACAACTGCAGATCAAAAGAATGTTGGTTTTGTTTGTCAAGCCCGAATGTGGAGTCACATTTAATCATAAGCATTGGGGAAAATTACTACTTGGCAATGGCTAAAGGTCCACTTGTTGAAGACCACGTACTGATAATACCAGTTGAGCACATGCCTAGTACCTTATCTATGTCTTCTGAATCTGAAATTGAACTCTCTAGGTTTCAGAACAGTCTCAAGAGTTACTGCAAGAGCCAAGAGAAGGAAGTTATCTTTTTCGAGTGGGCCTCCATACGTGGCACTCATGCCAATCTTCAGGTAGAAGTTTTATTGATAGTTGAAATTCTCAAAAGGGCATGATCTTTGCACTTGGCTCTTTGTTTATTGATGAGCTGGCTTCCCTTCCCCTCTTCCCTATCTTTCTTGCCTGTCCACTTTCCCCTTTTATAATTTGCCTAATTCCACTCTGGATGTTCAATCTCTTCTCCATTTTGTTGATTAGCTATTTTCAGCTCTATCAACAGTAGTTTGTTAATTGGTTTTCTTTGTTTTTTCTCTCGTGGAAGATTATATTAGTTCAATTTTCATTTGATTGACTGTTACTTTAGATTGTCTCTCTTATTGAGTCTCTACCCTTTGTGTAGGCCATTCCCATTCCATCTTCAAAAGCAGTTATGGTTGAAAAAGTTTTCAGTTTAGCTGCACAGAAGTTGGGATTTAAATTTGTGGCCAAGAAATGTAAGTATTATTCTTCAGAGCATGTTTCATATTTCATTGTTTATGTGGTCTGCTTCAGACCTGGATCCATTTAGTTCTTAACCCTTATTTCCCCTTAACTTTATTGTTTTTCATTGCCTCTTTACCAATTCTCAGTCATTGATTACCTGACTTGAAAAAAAAACTTCAATTTATTTATTTTGAAAATGCTCTACATTTTTTTTTTGAGGTTTTTTTATTTATATTCTGCTACATTCTTATGTTGGTCTTTAATGCAACCCAGTTGATAGTATTTCTGATGGAAGAAAGTTTTTAAAGACGCAAATTGATGGGGATTCAAGCTTGTTCTATGCTCAAATCCCAGGTGGCACAATTCTGCTGCATCATGTTGAAGAGAAAGAGAGGTTTCCTGCCCAATTTGGTCGTGAGGTACCCGTCCAATAGTGATGCACTGAGTAAATATAGAATCGTATCAATATATTTCTTAACAATTTCCTTTTTAAGAAGAGGTCTTCAATGATTAGATGTTTTTGTTACAAGATTGCAACTTTCTATTTTTTTTGAGAGAAAATCTTTTGTATTTATTAGTAAGAGTTTACACTTGTAAACATGAATCAGGTTCTGGCTGGGTTGCTTGATATGGCAGATAATGCTGATTGGAGGAATCGCAAACATAGCAAAGATGAAGAAATGAAAATTGTTGAAGATTTCAAGAAACGATTTCAAGAATATGATCCAAACTGTTGATTGTTCATGCATTGAATTCTTAATTTACTGCAATGCTATCATGATTATGGTGGTTCCTTGTGCATCTTTCGGTTATATGTCCTAATTGCTTCGGTGCTGGATGGCAGACTGAAAGGTGCATATTTGTTCAATTTTGTAATCATCAACCTGTTTACTTGATTATTGGAGTGAACTATTTTTATCTATTAATTGGTGCTTAGGAGATTTTATAGTCTTGCTGGATTTCAATTAGTAACCTTGTTTCCATCCACAGGTCATGTGGTAAGCTTCACTTTCGTTTCCCATACTTCCTGTAGTTTGTGTGTATAAACCTTGTTTCTTTATTATGAGAAGTTACATGCACATTATATACAGACACTGCAACCTTGCTATGCTATATTTCAGGCCAAGAATCAGCTAGCCGAGGTTGCTATTCTATCATTAGGCGCTATATGCATCAGTCAACAAGCACCTGCTGCATTCAAGTTTTGAAACAGGCTGGTTTTTCACCTGCTTTTTGTACGTAATTGAGAAGCTATTCACATTTGTTTCGAGAGGCAGGTGGGTTGAGGGTGAGAGGAGATTCACTTCGACTTTCAGCTAGTGATTTATCCAATGAGATCTTACAAGCTTTGTACTTGCATTTGCGTAGTGTTGAAGTTTTTTTATAATTTGTGTATTTTCTTTAAGTTGGGCTTCCACCTTTTTATGGAAATTCAATTCACTAGACGTTACTCCTTTCGGTATATTTTGTTATCAAATTACCGTGCCTTTTTGTTCATTCTTCTGGGTACTATAACAGCTTCCATTTTCAACCTGCTGGTCCTAATTCTAAACTTTTCCTGTATCGATGTAATTTACTTATCGGTTTCATTATTTATATATCGTATGTAGTTATCTTTATTTCTTGTATTTTTTCTTTAAAAAATCATTAATATATATATATATATATATATACCAC